GATGTTGGAGAATAGCAGTTGATGATAGTGATGGTTTTCTGATGCAGAGGACGGAGTCGAAGGATAGCCACGCGAAGTGATAGAATCTCATGCGTATCGCATGGACAACAAATGAGTGTACGACAAATCCAACTCCTCCAACGTGCCGTGATAGAACCTTCTCTCCACGAACATGAATGTGCCATCACTCAGCTGCCTCACGTTCGTCTTCCTGGACTTTGCTTCCTGCAAGTCGATTACGTGGTACTTGATGCGCCCTCCAGCTTCGAGAAATGCGTGAAGATTGGCGTTGGTGGAGACTGTCCTGGCGTTGTAGGTGCAGAGCATGAGACTATTTTTATAGCTAGTCGTTGACGTGTCCTTTTGGTCCAAAATCATGGTGTCCTGTGCAACCTGACACTGGTCTTGATGACATCCGACGCCGTAGTACAGGGTCTCTTTTTCTCTTACATGCTATGCAGGCAAAGAGTAAAGGACATCTCCCCAAACATTAGCAGTGCCTTGGTAGGCCCTGCAGTGTATGTTTTACCACCAAAAATGGTTTAAGTTCATTAAATTGCAAATTACGCACGCTATTTTTCGTGGAAAGAAATTGTTATAACTTCCTTTGAAGAATCGCTTAGCAGTAGAAGGCAGAATTGAAATCAGCATTTAAACTGATCTATAAGTGCACTTTTGTTTCAAAAGGCCACGGTCACTGAGTATCCCTCCCTTTTAAGAAGATGTATGACCCTATGGCGCTAGGTCTATCGCAACTGTTGATGTGAGGTGGAGAGTTCAAAAGGCGACTGCAATGCTGCCAAAACTGTATCCATTAAACTTTTTGTTCAAAAAGCAAACCTTCGTTATGAGAAAAGGTATTAGATAATATCGGCGTTCTGCAAACACGCCATAATTCAGCGTGCAGATGATGATGAAAACGAGTGCTGCACTGGAAGTGGTTGTGCATTACGTGAATACAGAGAGGGCAGATGTGTGACTTGCCTAATCGGGGAAGCTGGATAACGCGATAAAAATCCGAGGGTGTTAAGCAGATGTACAGCAGAAAGCACAAGAAAAATTGTCGAGAGCACACGTGCTCCTGTCTAAAATCAAATTACTGAAAGAGTTAAAAAGTATGACAATGACATACCTTAACGTGCATAGCACCACAGAGGCAGTGATTTTTAACAAGTGACATTGCCATTGTATCAAGTTTTTAACGGATCAAGAAGTTTGGTCAGGACACTGGTAGTTGACGTACTTGAATAAAACCTACC